AAAACATTCCAGGATAAACAGAATTTGAGAGATTTTATCAAAACCAACCCAGCACTTCAAAACATCCTAAAGGAAGTTCTGTGGACAGAGAACCAACAAGAACAGACAACAAACAGAGATTGACAGGTATAGCAACACCACCTGGAACATGCAACAGAGAGTAGAGTCCAGAACAGAACAAGACTACAACAACAAACTCAAGAGAACAGAGAGATGAACTGAAGGACATAAATATATCAATGTCAAAGAAGGGACAAACGCAGCAATGGAAGCCCAGGTGGTGGGGATGCCAGGTAAATTACAGGTTACAAGGGAGTATCCTAAATGCAGAGAAAAGTTAGTAGACTACAAGGTAACCCCAAAGACAGTTAACACCCCACAACATATCATGAAAACTAATTACCAAGCAGGACAAAACTAATTCCCAAGCAGGACAAGAAACTGACAAGAAACAACTCAAAGAACATAAATCCAACACAAGAAGGAAAGCAGAACCAAAAAACTAATAACACCACCAAAAAAGTAACATAATGACAGAAATCAATTCACACTTATTGATAATTACATTGAATGTCAATGGATTGAATGCACCAGTGAAGAGAGACAAAGAGTGGCAGAATGGATAAGAAAACAAGATCCATCAGTATGCTTCCTGCAAGAGACACACCTCACACACAAAGACAAAAAACAGACTAAAAGTTAAAGGATGGAAAAAAATTTACCAAGCCAACTGCAACAATAAACAAGCACAAGTGACAATAATAATCTCCAACAAAGTAGACTTTAAGATAAAAGCCAGCATAAGAGACAAAGAAGGTCACTAGCTCATGATCAAAGGGTCAGTTGAGCAAGACGACATAACCCTAATAAATATATATGCTCCCAACGAAACAGCACCAAGATACATGAAGAAAACATTAATGGTATTGAAGAAAGAAATAGATAAATCCACAATTATAGTGGGAGATTTCAACACATCACTCTCAAAAAGGGATAGAACAACCAGAAAGAAACTCGACAAAGCTACAGAGGAACTTAACAACACAATCAATCAACTTGATCTCATAAATGTATACAGAGCATTCTATTCAACAATGGCACAATACACATTCTTCTCCAATGCGCATGGAACATTTTCCAGAATTGACCATGTGTTAGGTCACAAAGCAAGCCTCCATAAATTCACAACCATCAAAATTCTACA